TTCGTAACCACTACGCTACCAGAGATCCTTATATATGTAGATATATATGTGTGTATGTATTTTTCTTTTCCCTTGGAGTGTGATTTTATTATATAAATTTGCTCATGCACCAGTGAGTGCCTCTGAGAATTGTTTGGATATTTGGTCAACTCTTAAGTGAAGCAAGAACAATTCTGATTTTCCAAGGACAGAGAGAAATCTTAGAGACAAAATGAAATAAAAGCTGCAAAAGATAAAAAGCCATCTCACTGTCAAGTCAGTCCCAAATCATGGTGACCGCATACACAATGGAATCAAAGTGCCAGGTCCTGCGTCACCGCCATGATCAGTTGTGGATGGGACTGTGGTCGTCCATATGGTTTTCACTGAGTGACTTTTGGAAGTAGATCACCAGGCCTTTCTTCCTAGTCTGTCTTAACCTAGAAGCTCCAGTGACAGCATTGGGCTCAGCATTGGGCTGCTAACTGCAAGGTTACCAGGTCAAAGCCACCAGCAGCTTCTCAGGAGACAGATGAGGTTGTCTGCTCGCTTAAGATTTACAGTCTCAGAAACCCTGTGGAGAATTTCTACTGTCTACAGGGTCACTAGGAGTGGCAATCTACTTGATGGCAGACGGTTTTGTTTGGTCCCTTTTCTTCACCTCGTACTTGCATTTCAAGGGATTCTGCAGGTCTCACATTGCCAGGATGCAGGTTTCTGGAACCCATGCACCAAGTGCGGTCACCTGGCTGTTGTCTAGATGGCAAAATTATAATGTAATTGAATGCTGGGCTCGTGGTAGGAGGGGATTTCTCTGAAATGTCCGTCAAACCTGACTAAGTTGTCACCACTGAGCATTTGGGAAGACTGGTGAATTCTCAGCGGCAGCCCAAATGCGATTTCTTGGTGGTAGACAGTATGGGATCAGCAGTCCGATAAACTAAATTCACTCAAAGCTATTTAAAAAGTTAAACTGTTTCATGGTTTCCCAGAATAGACAAACAACACAAGAAAGCATCTGCAAAGGGGCTTCCTTTGTCAGAGAGAGTGTTTTGAAATGCTTTTCACCGCCAGTAGATACTGAAGAAAGCTCTCAGAGGTGAGGTGTTAATGTGAAATGAGTTCCCCTGTAAATAAGGACTTTAAAACAGCGGTGTAATTACACGGGGCAGGCTGACTCTCAGGCAAACGCCAGGGCTTCCTGTGTAGTACAGGGGTCCGTCATTCCATGAATAGTGTTGAGATACACACCTCTGTCTTCATGTAGCCTGATAAAATGCAACTTGGAAGGAACTAACACAGTAAAAAAAAAAAAAAAAAAAAAAAGTGCAAAATGACTTCTGAAGTGATTTGTGAAGCTGTGCTTTGGATGCTCTAAGCATACTGATTTCACAGCTGACGTTTTGGCTTTGTAGTTAGAGCCCTACTTCTCCCATCTGAGTCAGTTGTTCCAGTCTGGAGATTGCAACAACAGCTACCAATTCTTGTACTTGTTGACTCGTTAAATCAAACCCAAACCAAACCCATGACCATCAAGTTCATTCTGACGCATAGCAGTCCTGTATCGGGTTCCTGAGACTGTAAATCTTTATGGGAACAGAAAGCTTCATCTTTCTCCTGTTCACCCATTGTGACCAATTTATTACCAAATGTCCTGAATTCTGGCTCAGAAGTAACTCTCCAACCCAGTTACTGCCATGGATTGATTTTTAAAAGATGACCAGGCTTTTCTTCTGAGGTGCCTCTGGGTGGAAGACTCAACCCTCCAAGTTTTCGGTTAGTAGCTGAGTGTGTTAACCGTGTGTAACACCCGGGGACTCCATCAGCTTACCCTCCTTTATTTCCCTCATGGTCCTGGCTGACATCAAGCATCATATCTTGTTTTGTATTTAGTCTTCCTGTCCTGCTAGAATGTGTGCTCCATTCCCCAGTGCTCAGCACATGACTTGACACATATTAGGCGAGGGGTGGAGGTTTCCTGAATATATGAAGATGGCGGTGGGGGGGGGGGGCTCTTAGTTCAGTCTACCTTTCCTGATGGATTTCCTCACTCTGATCTTATGTTTTGGTCTTCAGTGCCACCAGCTTTCTCACCAAACACTGAACATAAATTTTCCCTTTAAAGGTTTGACACCTTTGCACATACTGCCATCTTGGCCAACTTTTTGTTCTCTGAGTTACAAACTCCTACTCACCATCAATGCCCAACTCCAGCGTTACATCTTACATCTTCTCTGAAGCTTTTACACCTCCTTGACAGGGTCAAATGCTCCCTCTGGCAGAGAGAGGCCTACCTGTGGGCACAGCTGAGGGGAGGTGTCCTGACTGGAAGAAGTGTGCCCTGAGCTTATCTGATCCTGAATCATCACCTGTTCACCTCCCTAATCAGCCCCATAACTGGAAGTGTGTGTGGCGTCTGAGTTCTGTGGGCATGGCAATGGATGATCAAACCCAGCATGAGTAAAGACAGCATGGGAGAAATGGTTGGTGCAACATTTTTTTCTAACTGTATACTATCTCCAGTCCCCAGAGAAAGACACCATGCTAGGTAAAGCGGAGGGTTAGTGCAAGAGGGAGATTCCCAATGAGATGGACTGGCCCAGTGGCAGCAATGATGGCCTCAAGCATAACAATTGTGAGGACTCTGCAGGACTGGACAGTGCTTTATTCTGCTGTGCAGAGGGTCACTGCATTGAACCGCAAGTATAGCTCATGGAACCTCATTATTAACACCACTGTTATTTTCTGTACTAAGGAGCCTCAAACTCAGTGAGGTCAGGTAACTTGGCTCTGGTGCACCTAGAAAACCACCAGGCTGTTCTATAGTCACTGGGGGCTGCCTCTTTGCTCTTGAGCTCTCTTCCCACCCTGGAGACCTGGGAGTACATTCTGCTCAGAGAGGGAACTAGCTCCCCGGTAGCATGGTCCTACCTTGTGGCAGGGCACATATGTCCCTTTGCTTGCCAGATGGAGAGGCACAGACACTGGGCTGCCCTCCACACACCTCTGACTGGGCCATCCCCAAGGGCAGCCAGGTGTCCTTGGAGCCTGCTGCCTATCCAGGTGGACATAAACCGAGCCGCTGGCTCCCTCTTGAGCAAATGTAAAGAGGCCCCAGAGGAGGAGGGCGAAGGTGCCTGGCAGGCAGAGGAGACAGGGCAGAAAACACTGTTTATCATTTCCTTTAAACCAAGAAACTTTCCATGTTCCTTCAGGGAATAAGGGCAACGGGCAACAATTAGCATGTCTATTCTAAGAAGTGCACACTTCCTCTACTTAAAGTATATTCTGGTATAAAGGAGACGAAAATGAGCTGACATCATGCCTGTAGTTTATTCCCCTAGTGGGCAGTGTGTAACCTTTCAGCTCATTGGGGGAACTTCTCTTAGAGAAGTGGGTGTTAAACTTTGGGTAGTGTTACCTACTCCAAGTGTGGTCCTCAGATCAGCAGCATCAGCATCACTGGGAGCTTGAGCCCCATTCCAGATCTAATGACTCTGAATTTTAACATGACCCCTAGGAAATTCATAAGCAGATTTCCATTTGAGAAGCACTAACCTAGGATGCTTGATCACAATGCAAGTTTGGGTCCATGCCTGAGAGATTTCTGATGCATGAGAACAGGTGATGGATCAGGCTAAGATCCAGAAATCGAAGCAGCATCACCTGGGAGTCTGCTTTTTGTGCAGCTGTGGTGGAGAGGTAATGTTGTGGAGTGGAGATAGCACAGATGTTGTATTCAAACATTCCTCTGATAAGATCTCAGCTTTACTACCTCCAAGCTAGGGCATCTCAAGCAACTTCTTTATTTCATGGAGTTTCAGCTTCCTCTACAAAAAAATGGGCTATGGGTTGTGAGGGTAATAATAAGTGTAGGATGTGAAGCAGAGTGTTTGTGGCACATGTTGTTGCTGTCATTTGCTGTTGATTCCAACCCATAGCGACCATGTATAGAGTTTCCAAGGAACAGCTGGTGAGCTTGAACTGCCGACCTTGTGGTTCAAACCGATTTTGCAGTCCAGTATAGTGGTGGTGTAGTGGTGGAATCTCTGCCTTCCACATGGGAAACCTGCGTTCATTCCTGTCTGACCCACTGCTTGCTTAGCTACCTCCTGGCTGTCAGAGAAGGCTTTTGTGTTGCTATGATGCTGAAATGGTTTCAGTGGAGTTTTCAGACAAAGACTGACTAGGAGGGAAGGTCTGGTGATTATTAAAAACCTAGGAAGGAGAGTACTATAGGTCACAATGGTAGGGTCCACAACAAATCCTGTGAATGGCAGAGGATTGCACAGGATTTCATTCCATTGTGCATGAATCTGGGCCTACTCAACAACTGCAAACTTCAACAGGTTGTTGCTGTTGTTAAGTGTCAGTGCCTATCCTACAATGCCACACCAGGACACCAAACAACAACATCAATAGTTATAAACAGATATGTTGTTACAGGAATAACTATTAGATCAATGAGCTGTCTGTTGGTTGCACAATTGAACAGTGAGTTGGACCAGGAAGTATTGATCAGTTTCAACAGCAGTGATAGGAATGATCAAAAGGGGGTTCATCAAGATGTAATAGCTGTGATTTCTCCATTATTTTATTCTGACCTTAAAGACTTAGAGAAAGATCAAACAGCACCCGAGATCAAACTTTCTCTTGTGTTAACAGTCACCTGGGAAGCTAATGAAAAATGTTCATTCCTGGACCCTGCTTTCCAGAGATTCTGTTTCATTAGGTCTTGGGTGTACCTCAGGAACCTGAATTTTTATCCCTAGGAGACTCTGATGCATGAAGTCCTCCAGCCTCACCCTAAGAAACAGTGGCTTAGAGAATGTGTGTATTCATTCAATAAATGTAGAGCTCAATGCCTGAGGGGCCTTGTACTGGTATATGGAAATGCACGGGGATGACTAGGACCTCGCCTGGTGTCCAGTCTCTGGGGGAGAATGAAGGGTTCGGTGCTGTGCTAAGCTAGGACATCAATCCAGACCACAGCCCAGAAGAGCAACAGGGAAGGGTGCTACCTGGGCTTCTGCAGCTTCAATGTTGTGGGAGAGGTTTCCATTTTGCACAGGCTCCGAAGCATCACTGGTTGGTGTCATCTCAACTTCAGTGCTGCTGCTGTTTGGGAGCTCAATTTTTTCTGTGATATAAATTAAACACACACACACAAAGAAAGCAAAATAAATCAAGGGTGGAGAAGATTCACATTAAAAACAATATCGTAAAATACTGGACCAAGGGAGAAGAGATGGCAGTCTCTGAGGGGTGATGAGACCCAGGGCTGGTGTTGAGCCAAACAACAAAAGAACATTTATCATTTTTCTCCATGATTTCCACAGTATCAGTCCACCTTCCTTTTTTGATAGTTATCTGGTGTCCCACACCAGCCTGATGTCTTGAGTGTCCCATGAGTTCCCATGATAACATATTCTCTGTTGTTGTTAATTGCCACTGAATCAGTTCTGCCTCATAGCAACCCTGTATAGGGTTTCTGAGTAGCAGCTAGTGGGTTTGAACAGTCTACCTTCTGGTTCAAAGTCCAGTGATGATTCTACAAAGCCACACCAGGAGTCCAACCTGGTTTCTATATACCAATAGATTTTATGCATTGGACACTAATGATTGGAGCCAGAGTAGTTATTTAATGACATCAAGAACATCGTACATGAAGAAAGCAAAAAGTCATACACAAAGAAAGCAAAAGATAGGAAAGAAAGAAAGAAAATAACCAAATGATGTCAGAAGAGACTCTGATGTCAGAAGAAATGCTGAGGTAAAAGAGCTAAACAGACCTGAAAAGACAAGGTAAATGTGCGAAGACCTGGAACTGAAGAAAAAATTCAAGCCTCCAATTGAAATATTAAGGATTCTATGGGCAAAATATTGAAGGACACAGGAAGCATCAAAAGAAGATGGAAAGAACTCACAGAGTCATGGTACCAAAAAGAATTGGTCAATGGACAACTGCTTCAGGAGGAAGTATATGATAAAGGACTGAGATATTTAAGAAGTCCAACCTGAACTGAAGCATTCGTGAAAAACAACATTCTAGGTACTGATGGAATATCAGTTGAGATCTTTCAACAAATGGATATAATTTTGGGAGCTTGTCTATACTAGGAAATTTGGAAGACAGCTACCTCTTCAACCGTCTGGACGAGATCTATACTTGTGCCCATTCCAAAGAAAAGTGAGCCAACAGAATGTGGAGAGTTCTGAGCAATATTATTAATTCACACTCAAGGAAAAAAATTCTGATTATAATTTAAAAGAATGATCACAGCACTACAATAGGGAAATTCTAGAAATTCCAGCTGTATTCAGAGAAAAAGGATATGGTATGAGGGACTATCATTGTTGGTATTAGATGGCTCTTGGATGAAAGCAGAGACTACCAGAAAGATTTTTACCTGTGTTTTATGGCACTTGACTGAGTGGCTCATAACGTATTACTGATTACATTGGGAACAATGGGAACTCCAGAACACTTAATTGGGCTCATGGGGATGTTGTTGTTGTTGTTATGTGCTGTGGAGTCGGTTCTGACTCATAGTGACCCTACACAGGGTTTCCGAGGCTATAAATCTTTACGGGAGCAGACCGCCTCATCTTTCTCCCGCGGAGTGGCTGGTAGTTTCAAACTGCTGACCTTGCGGCTTGCAGCCCGATTCGTAACCACTATGCTACCAGAGCATAGACCAAGAGGCAGTCATTTGAATACAACAAGGGGATACTGCACAGTTTAAAACCAAGAAAGGTGTGCGTCAGCATTGTATTCTTTCACCACACTTATTCATTCTGTATGCTGAGTAAATAATCCAAGAAGCTGGACTATATGAAGAAGAACATGGCATCAGGATTGGTGGAAGACTCATTAATAACCTGCGATATACAGATGATACAACCTTGTTTGCTGGAAGCAAAGAGGACTTGAAGTACTTAATTGATGAAGATTGGAGAATTCAGTATGGATTACACCTCAACATAAAGAAAACAAAAAAATTCACAACAGGACTAATAAACAACATCATGAGTAATGGAGATAGTATTGACATTGTCAAGGATTTCATTTTACTTGGATCCACAATCAATGTCCATGGAAATAGCAGTCAATGAATGAAATGACATATTGCGCTGGATAAGTCTGCAGCAAAAAGACTCTTTACAATGTTAAAATGCAGAGATGTCACTTTGAGGACTAACGTATGCCCTGCCCAAGCCATGGGGTTCTGGTGTGGCACTGTTGGATAAGCACTAGACTGCTAACCACAGGTTGGAGGTTCGAGCTGATCCTTGAAAATTATATACAGGGTTGCTATGAGGCAGAACTGACTCCATAGCACTTAACAATACCTCATTCAATTCAATCACCTTATATGGATGCAAAAGTTAGACAGTAAATAAGGAAGACCAAAGAAGAGTTGATGCTTTAGAATTATGGTGTTGGTGAATATACCATAGACTGTTTGCAGAATGAACAAATAGGTTTTAGAAGAACTACAACTAGAGTGCTCCTTAGAAGAGAGGGTGGCAAAAGTTCATCTATGTATTTTGGATGTGATCAGGAGGGACCTGGTCCTGTAGGAAGGCATAATGCTTGGTAAAATAGAGGTTCAGTGAAAAACAGGAAGACCCTCAAAGAGATGGACTGAAAATGAGTTGCAACAATGGGCTCAAACATGGGAGGGCACAGGACTGGGCAATACTTTCTTCTGTTGTATATAATCTGGTAGCGTAGTGGTTATGAGTCGGGCTGCCAACTTCAAGGTCAGCAGTTCGAAACTACCAGTGGTTTCGTGGGAGAAAGATGAGGGATTCTGCTCCCGTAAAGATTTACAGCCTCAGAAACTCTGTGCAGGGTCACTATGAGTCGGAACCGACTCCATGGTACTAAACAACAACAATATAGAATTGCTATGAGCCAGAACTGACTCTACAGCAACAAAGAACATTTTTTTTAGGAACAAAGTCCCTCAGAGATGTAACAAACATTGGAAGGATCCTTTGAGTTACGTATCCTACTTCCTGATAGAAAGTAAAATACAAGTTATGGCTACCCAGTCATTAGGAAGAAGCCAGGAACTGAACACTGACAATGAAATCTTTTATTCTATGATGCCTTGTTCCCCAAGAGAAATCACTGAGTGGAGCAGAAAATGTAGTTTATGTTACTGAACTTAAATTTCACAAGCAAAATTTAATGTATGCAGTAGATTTTTATGGTATGACTTTATACTTGTATAATATAAAAGCAAAATATGCTAATTATAAAAATATGTCCAAGTTTGTTGTTGTTGTTGTGAAGTGCCATTGAGTTGGTTCTGACTCATAGCGACCCTGTATAGGGTTTCCGAGGAGCAGCTGGTGAGCATGAACTGCCGACCTTGCAGTTCAAATGGCTTTGCAGTCTGGCGGGTTAACCCACAGCGCCACACCGGGCTCCTGCCCAAGTTTATAGAACCAATAAAAAAGCTGAGTTTTAAATAAAACCCAGAATCCATGATTAATAATTTCATTACCAAGAAGTAAGTATTGTTAATATTTTAGCTTATTTCCTTCCAGCTTGTCTTTTCATATCCAGTGGAATCTTGACTGCTTCATGGCCAAACATTTTCCTGAGCTGGAACCTCAGGATAACAGAGAGACAGATACTCTTCAAAAGAGTTGAGTACAACACTGTTGAATTTCATCTGTAGATAATTTTAGTTTTGGGCAATTGCATCATTTATAGCATAGATACAAATCAGGGTACATTTAGTTTGCATTTGGAATTAGAAAGCTATGCTATAGTTACAGACAGAAGAGGAAGAGCATCATGTTCCAAGTTAAAATAAGAAGCCGGAATGTCACGATCTGGTCACACAAAGGGCTCAGAAAAAGCCACCAGAAGAGACCTGGCTGATACTTAGGAAAGGAGAGGAGGTGTAGTATCTCTGGGACTTACTTGGCCCAGGAGTCACTCATGGAGTCACTGGTAATTTAGTGGGTGTGCTTAGGCAATGTCATTGACACAAACCCTGGGTGATGTTGTTAGGTTCTATCGAGTCCATTCTGACTCCTAGTGACCCCATATGCTAGAGTAGCCCTGTAGGGTTTTCTAGGCTGTAATCTTTATAGAAGTAGATTGACCGGTCTGTTGAACTACTGGGTAGGTTTGAACTGACAAATTTTCTTGTTAACAATTGGTGCTTAAACATTGCACCACCGAAGTTCTCTCACTTTTTGTTAACCCTTAAGTTATTGGTGTGCGTGTTTCCTCTTTATATATCTTCACACCAGTTGCTGTGAAGCGCATTCTGCTGCATAGCAATCTCATGTGTGTCAGAGCAGAACTGTATTCCATAGAGTTTCCAATGGCTGACATTTTAAGTAGATGGCAAGGCCTTTTACTCTGAGGTGCCTCTGGATGGACTCAAACCCTCAACCTTTTTGTTAGCAGCCAAGCACTTTAGCTGCTATACTCCCCATCAAAAAACCTAAGCCAACTGCCACTGAGTCAATTTTGACTATGGCAACCCTCTAGGATAGGGTAGAACTGCTCTGTAGGATTTCCAAGGCTGTAAATCTTTACAGAAATAGACTGTGTCATCTTCTCCCATGAAGTGCCTGGTGGGTTTGAACTGCTGACCATCTGGTTAGCAGCTGAGCCTTTTAAGCACTACACTACCATGGCTCCATTTTACACCACCCATGGACCCCTGGTGTGGTGCTGTAGGATAAGCACTGGTCCATAATATGGGTTTGAACTGAAAGGTCTGCACTTCAAACCCACCAGCTGTTTCTCGGAAACCCTATACAGAGTTGCTATGAGTTGGACCTGCCTCAATGGCACCTAACAGGGACCTCTTATGTAGAATCATCAAAGTAAAATTATTTTCCACTCTTAAATGGAGATGTCCGATGAGTTGGTTTTATTTCAAGCTTCTTAAAGAATTACACAACTCTTTTTTGGAGATTCCACAGAGTTACAAGTTACAGTATGTGTCTGGTCACTCATTAGGGGAAAAGGGACTCATTTCATCCATTCATTTTACAGGGAAAGCCTGGACTGTAGGGCTTTCTATGTTTCTCCTGGGTCAGGGCTGCTCCCAGTGGGTTCTACCTCTCCACTCCCCTCTTTGCACCCAAGGAAAGGCATGGGGTGGAGACTCTCTGTACTCACCCACGTGGTTGGCAGCCCCGTTCTGCCTCTCGTTCTCATCCACATGGCATTTCTTCTTGGCGATCTTGTGGAGAATTGAAGCCTTTTCTCTGAACCGCCCTGAAGCAGGAGGGAAGGAAATGGGGTGAGAAGGAAGAGAGGGGCTCGGGACAAAGAGTGGGCGAGCTGCAGAAGCAGCATGTGTGTCTTTACGCAGCACTGTGGTATCCACTGATCCTTTCTGTCCAGCCCAAATGCCCTAGGACCGACATAAGGGGTGCTTTCTTACCTCTGTGGATTCTTCCGCCCCAAGACAGGCGTAAGATTTGAGTTGGATCTCCCCCTTCAATTGCCCACAAAACACACAAAAGCACCAAGCATCTCTACAATTTCCCCAAAACAGTTCTGTTGAGACTCAAAACCGGTCTACAGAAAAAGCTGTTCTGGAGACAACCATTTCCCTGGTATTTAATGCCAGTTCCAGACTGACTTTGACAATGGGTTGGGAAGGGATGCTAAGCCAAGGGGTCCTTTGATTTGACTTTAGCTCTCAAATATTTAATCATAAATAACTCTGCACTTTCTAAGCAGTTCAGGTACATGTATCCCAGCTAGCCGATCAGCTGAGTCTGCTGTACTGAAAGCATGATGAAGGCAACAGATCCCACTTGGGGAGTTAAAGACAAAAATATTCAACCCAGCACTGCAAGTGCTGTCTGAGGGAAGGTGCTGGAAACGATACCATTCTCAAAAGAATCATTTTCAACTGCAGTACCACAAACAGAATACATCATTTCATCTTGATTATTAGCATAATTAATGGGTAAATGCATGCAACAAACACAGGAAAGAAACACATGCAAAAGTGAAGAGGTTAGGCAAACTGCACATTTCTTTTCTAATCCTTGATTTTCTTCCCTAGGAACACCCGAGTTACAAAAGCTTCTCGCTTTAAACTGACTGATTATTGCCTACATTCAGACATAGCAGTCCCTCTAACTGCTCTACAATTTTCCCACTAGTCTGTTGTTGTTGTTCCATAGTAGAGTATTAACAGGAGATTTCATTCTATATTTCTAATCGGATGAAAATGGAGCCAAAAACCAACCACCAAAATGTTTCTCTTAGAGAGCGTCTCCTCCTAGAATGAAGTATGCAGGTCAGCACCCCTGCCCCTCCCCTCCTTGTGGATGGAGAACATAGGGTGTCGTCATGTTGGTAACTTGTGTGACAGAGATATAAACTACAGTGGGATTAGTTGACTCTACTGGTGAACATGACACAGGCCAGAGCCCTTTCTGCTTATAAACCTAGACATCTTCTTGATACAAAGGACAGCTCCTTAGATCTAAGTACCTAAGTCTAGGCAATGAATGTGCATGCAGTATTGGGCACAGTGCCCAATGAATTCAGAAGGGAACCATTACCTAGGGAAAAGTAGGTCAGCATGTAGCTTTTGCTTTTGCATTATTGGAATGAGAAAGAAGGTCAAGGTGATGGACATGATGTTCATCCTTGAGAGGGGTTGGAAAGCTATAGGAAAGACAGCACAGCAAAGTCTTAACAGGGGATCGCATCTATTTATCTAATTAGATGAAAACCAAGCCAAACCAAACACCAAATTAGGTTCACTATCCTGCAAATGATATTTGAATGAAGTTGTTTCTATTTAATCTCCAAGGGAAAATTTTTTAATTTTTATTTGTTTAAATACAAAGAAAGGGAAAAGAAAGAAGACTCGAGGACTAGGAAAAGGAGCAGGTAAGAGGGAGCACAAAAGAGAGTGAAAAGAAGGTCTACTAGGAAGGCGGAGGTAGGCAAGGGGCTGTAATTTCCTGGAAGATGCCCTGGCAGAGCTGCAAGTCCCCTTCCAGTGCTAGTGGGGAGACTAGATAAGCAGAGGACAAAGAGCTGACTAGTTCACTGCAGACTAATACTCCTAATGAAGTGTTTTTTCTTATGGAAGACAACTTATGCAAGAAATCTTTGCATCATCTGATGAACAGTCCAAAAGTGTAAAAATGAGGTCTTGAAACTTTCTAGAAGACGATGCTTCTACTAATACTACCATCACACAGTGGTCTCACAGTCATTGTCTGAACTTAGAACAGTACATAGCTCTAGAAAAAATAAAGATGATCAATTGCTATTTTAAATTACATAAAAAATAATAAAGCAAAAAAAAAAAAATTCAGAAGAAGAAAACAAAATAAGCCCATGGGAATAAAACTTGAACTAATAACCCACTCCAAGTAAGGATATTGGGACCAAAGTCATGAATCATGGCTGAAAAAAATATTTGATAGAAACCAGCTAAGCATCTATTGCTTGCGGCTACAAGAATGTTTTCAGTACTTTAGATGTATGCTAGAGAGAAATGCTAACAAGGTACCCCTCTCTCAGCCCTGGCCCAGTGCTTCTGCCAGGAAACACCTTTCCAAACGGACTATGCCACTGCCATCCATGGGCTGTTTTCCTCAAATTCTCCAACGGAGGTCTGGGAGAAATAGGCAGGTGGGAAATGATTCCAGAATGGAGGCTGTGCAAGTTCTCCAACATTCTTACAAGCCAGCGGTGTTTTTGAGCATATGAACCTCACTGTCCCCATCCAGATGCATCTCCGATTATCTGTTATTGAAAAGATAAGCACTAGACTTCAAACCCACCAGCTGCTCTGCGGGAGAAAGATGAGGCCTGTCTGAGCTTCCATAAAGATGTAGTCTTGGAAACCTTGTATAGAAAGTGACACTATGAGTTGGAATCCACTCGGTGACTTTTGGTTAATTCCTAAATATTTTGGAGGCTATTTCCCCTTCTGTGAAATAGGGGTTCTGATGATAGTGGCTCCCAAGTTAAAGCAAAGGTTTAAATGAGAAAATGTGTGTAAAGGGCTTGTCCCAGTACCTGGCATTGGAAGAGTTCCTCTTATTTCCATAAATAAGAGGAAAGAGAGAACCAAACATAAATCTCAGGGACAAGCTGGCCATGACCTGAAGTTACTTTAAGAGAAGCATTGGCATTTATCATCTCTCAATCCACACATGAAAGAGAATTAACCATAGCCTCATAACCAATACTATAAACATCTCAAGACCTTGTTGCATTGGTGCTCAGGTTTTGTGAGTCCTCCAAGAGTCTCTTCCAAGATCACTGCACATCTTCCTGAAATTCAGAAGGTCAAGGTAATGGAGCTGGCCTTTTGTGTTTTAACTACTGATACTTTTGCAATTTTAACATTGAAAGACAGTGATCAGCTTTCCCCTATCACTAATGGAGACAAAAGGAGGGTTGATGACCTACTGCTATTGACTAGCTTTGGGATAGCTCAAAAGAACCTCCCCTGATACACATGTTTCTTAACCCGTGTCTGTCTCAGTTTCAGAATTGGTACAATGGGGATAATAAGGTCACCCATCTCATATCATTGTTGGGAGCTTCAATAAGTGAATACACAGTAAGTGTTTAGGGGAGCGCCAATAAACAACACGTGCTCAAAAACTGTTACTCAGACCAGAAAGTGTTATAATTACTGTGACATAATGACAGGAAGTTCTTCTCAGAAAGTGCTGAAAATATGCTGACATGTAAGATGGAATGGTTGCTTTAACAGCCTGAGGGGCAATAGACTGCAGCAGTGCTTCCATGAACTATTTTAGGCACAGATTTCAAAATGTCCTCCGGGGTGGCACAGAGGGACCGACCTAAGAGCCAGCTATAGTTTTGTGCCTGGTGATAAAGAACCAAGATATTTTTGAGTGCTTTTCAAGGTGAGCGAAGAAGTGATTTTTTTAACATGCTTTCAGGCAATCTTAAAAATATACTTTGTTGTTGTGCAAACCATTATAAGTGTTGTATTTTTATATAGCTACAGATATTTGTATACCTCAAATCTCAGAAATAGCAAATCGTGAGGCACCTACGTCAAAACCTAGTACACGATGTTAATGTAGTTTAGCTTGCACTGAAATTTGCAAAAAAGAGAAAAAAATACCCCCCCCAAAACCAAGCCCCCCACAAACAAAGCAAAAAAAAACCACCCAGCTGAGTGTTCTCAGAGAAGTGTGTGTTGAGGAGGCGGTAGGGAAGTGTCGAAGGAAAAGATCAGAAGCATACAGGCCTAAATGTGAATATGAAAAAAATTCTGAAAAACAACCAGGAACCAAAACTCTTGACCGAATCCCTCTGGCATAAAACAGAAGTCCCCAAACTTTCATTGCAAAGTAGTCTTTGGAGAATCTGTCCACTCAAAGGAAGTGGACCTAGCTTCTGTTCTGCTGTGAATTAATTAAGAGGTCACCCCTTCCCCATCAAGTCAAGAATAGTCAGGGTTACAAAAGGAACTCTTGGGATGAAGGTGGAATTAGCTCCGGGCGGGCACAGAACATTCTGAGCCTCAGCAACCGAGAAAATGGCACAGAGAAGATGTATAATGGGACTTCAAGGAGTTCATGGAAGAACTCCAAAACCCAAGGAAACCCCACTACTGTGGCGCTGATCAATTCACAGGGATCTTATAGGACAGAATAGAGTTGCTCCCTAAGGCTTCTTAGGCTGTAAATCTTTATGGAAACTTCATTTTTCTCTCTTAGTGGCTGTTGTATTTGAACTTCCATTGTGATGGTTGTTGTTTTTAAGTGTTATCAGTTTGGTTCTGATTCACAGCGACCCTGTATAGAGTTTCCAAGGAGCATCTGGTGAGTTTGAACCCACCAACCTTGCAGTTAGCAGTCCAGTGCTTATTCTATAGCCCCATTAGCAGCCCAATTTTATTCCATTTTTCCAGGAACTTCTTGAAGCCCCTTTGTATATTACAAATGGAGTGGTCATACACCATGGGTTTGGCAGAAAGAAAAATGAAACAGCAGGAAAATTTGGAAACAGTTTTTTTGAGCCTTATTCCCCTCCCCCCCATTCTCCCTTTCCTATTTCTTTGAAGTTGGCAGGTAAGTTACAAAGTAGAGAACACCTGAAATTTCTTCCTGTTTTTCTTTGCCATTTTCCCTCTGGAAATGTAGACTCAATTCCAACACTCTAAGAAGATTGTCAGGAAGGGAACTGATGTGGCCACGGGACCATCCTGAGCTCCTTTCTCTCTCTCACTCCCATGCAATCATTGACTT